GATCTTCAAAGCGTTCAACACATCGATTATTACAACACCTCGGAAAAACTTGTGATATTTCAAAATAATAATTCTTTCGGATTGTACTTCCTCTTGTAAAAAAGTATATATAGTTGGAGAGGCGTCAGAATATCAGGGGTGCGAGACGAATGAAGAATGAACGGACACAAGATTTTAATTTTGGAACGGTATACATTTTGGTTGAAAGTTGTTGCTACATCTTTGAAGATGGCGACGATTTTTAGAAAAATTGTTACCAACATTTTGGTCTACAAGATATCTTAAAGCTTGAGCAGCCCTTGAAAATTCTAACATCTCTCACACTTTATTGTACATTATTATTTAAGAAAAGAGGTCAATAAAATGGTAGAATGTTAAACGATATATTACTAGGAAATGTTTCTAAAATTTAAGCCTATGTCTAGGAAGAACAAGATTTAATCTGTTCATAATGTTAATTATCTACCTTTACCAACATTCCGACAACGTCCTTTACTACCTTGTGGACCATAACAATTCTTTTCGTAGATTTTTTGCAGAATCTTAATTTTAGTTTGTCTGATATCACGTTTGCGTTGACAAATTTCTTTTTCAGGTGTACAAACAACACCGCAATTGAACCACACTCGTTTGCTTATAGTCATACATATGAATGATTGTTTTCATCTCCGCCGATCATCCAATATATTTTTAAAAGCTCCCATAAGCTTAAGGAGAGTTAACTACGCCTACGGATTCCTAAACGGTTTTGTTAAAAGGATGTCTTTCCAAACTTTCGAAGCACCCTGATATGGTAACGTTTGACACTGGGAACAAAAGTTGCATTTTCAGTATTTTAAACCAGCACAAAGTATCTAGATAGTGCCATTAATCACAACTGCCACACCGCTATAAACCTTTTAACTCTTTCCATAAAGTAAATATTTGCATTTGCTTGGTTGAACTTGTAAATCAGGAACCAACACTGATCCTTGTGGTGTTTTTATTTCTCCAACGAATACAGCAGTTAACTCACATTTAGTCTTTTCAATACTGGATTAATCCTCGACTGGAGCGTACAGAATTTTGCCTTTGCAATGCTATACGTCTGTGTAATATAATTGGAATTAACGCTTTTGCAATTCCTAGTGAACGAGAATGGCATCACACAAATATACTCAGTTGGAAATAGTCAGCTGAAGGTGTTTATATTAGCCATTAATCCATTTTACTAATTTCTTCGTTCGCTCAGAGTACGTACAAGTGAAGAATACGTACTGTTCCGCCGTCCAGGTTGGCAGTTATTCATAGTATTATAATGGTTGCCTTCATCAGTGCTCTACTACCTCGCAAAATGGTAGTTGAATTTCAACGTCACTTTCCACAACGACATTTTCCGAGAAGTATCACAAGGTAGAAAAATATGCTTTCGTGATTGCAATTCCAAATGCATCCTGTCTCTATTTTAAGATTGTGTTCCAGATAGTGATTAGGTGTTTTTGCCATATCGCCTGCTTCATGATTCTTGCAATCATCGATGTACATCCACGTTGCAGAATGTTGGCTATAGTTCAATTAGATTTTTTACAAATACAGAACTCAATATACTGCTCTGTGTCACATACATAAACATACTTATTCTGTTACACGTTCAAATGTATTCTGTTTCAATCTTTTAACTAAGTTCCAACAAACTTGTACAATAAATTATCTACCTTGGAAAAAATAAGTACATTTTATTTTAATTTTTGTTGAAAACGTTCTTCTCATAAGCATATTATTAGTTATGCCAAGATAGAGCGTTTTCAAATATCGCCTTTGAGATATAACAAATACATTTATGAGAAAATAATCTGTGAAAATACCTTTGTTATATCTACGAAATGTTGCAATGCTGTTTTTACCAACCAGGTTTTACCATAGGCAGCCAGCAAAAACTCATCACAAAACAAGAAACACTTTAAAATATTAATTCAATTCGTATTTTATAATCACTGATTAATCACCGGTTAATTTAGGCCTCTCTTTAGGTTGGGTTGCCAAATATTGGAGACAGAGACAAATTTAAAATTCCCAACAAATCTAACCCAACATAGGTGACCACACTTTCATTGCTGCAAACCATACTAAACTTTTTAGCTTACATTTCATTCACTTCTGCCAAATTTACAACCTAGCAATGTTTTAGTTGTAAAATTTTGTTAGATTTTTGCTACGCCGTTATTCAGTTACCACTCAAAGGTTTCCAGAAATAAATAGGCGAGCAGCATTTAATCTTCAAAATTGTTCAAATTCACAATGGCGGAAAAATGGGATTTCGTCTGATCACTTTAAATCGGATCGCATTTCGCAATTTTTTAACGCAACGAAACAAAAAGGTTTCACATCACAGCCAAAAGACCGATATTCAAGCTTGAATAAAGTAAATCAGATTCCGTATAATCTTAATACATACCCAATGTGCAATAACATGTCAAATTTGGATTACCTTATATTTGGATATACACTGCTATCACAGATACTTACTTTTATCTCAACAACGAAAAAAAAACTCAAAGCTAAACTATATTTCTTCTACTACTTTTCTATTGTAAACACTACAGCAACTAGATAAGCTGTCTATCGCATAATCAGATTATGCGTTTGGCAATGCACACATGATTCTGAACACCATCACATTCTTAGTTACAACAATTTCTCCCACCATTTCTCTGAAAGTATCAACTGCAGCAACTTGATAACTTTAGTATCATGACACTCCTCCTTCACAAACGGGGACACAACTCTAAAAATCTAAAGCGAACTATGCACTTTTTACTGTTTTCCCGACAACCAACAACTTTGGCAATTTCAAGGTGTTGTTTTCCCCAAATCTTATTTTAACCGACATCAAGCACACAACCCAAGTTGAGAATTAATATTCTTTTTAAATAATATTTTTCACCAAAGTAAGGGACCGGTCATTATTTATGGTGGGGGGTTGGCACCGAAGAAAAAAGGGTTGGGTAAACTAAATTTTGAGTAAGTAAAAGGTTGGGTAAATGAAAAACAGAACAACTCAAGGGTTGGGTAATAAAAAAATTATTGTCATTTCCAAAGCATGACTCACTGAAGTATTGGGGACTAAAAAGCAATGGCAACAGTAGGCCCTACTCTGGGGTGATAACGAGATAATGCGAGTTTAAGCAATTTTATGTGATTTAAGCAAAATCTGCGATTTTTAAGCAATGCAAGTTTGAGCGATATAGGGCGATTTAAGAAAACAATTAAAATTTTAGGGAATGCTGTTTTAGGTGTTTAGAGGTATTTCAGGAATATATAACTATATCCTGATGACTCCAATGAAATTGCCATTAACCTATGCCAAGCATCCAAACATGAGTGTACCCACAAACACACACACATGCAGTGTATGAAGCAAAATATACAATTTCACAAGAAAAGTTGAAGTCTGCTTGAGGGGGTTCTGGAAACAAACAATACACTGTATGCGCATGGGGTAAATAAGCTTAATATTCATGACTTTTTTCATCCATTGTCTATTTCGAAGCCATTGGGGTATTATTAAATTCATGACACAACTATAATACATGACCACATGTCCACATCGTATGCAATTGCAAACAATTTTCAATCAAAGGAGTAGGGTACAGAATTGCAATAGGCCTGTAACAACATATAAGTAAATTATACATGTCATGAACTTACCAGTTTATGTTGAGTTAAATTTAAAATTTTTTACAGACTCTTTACAGTATGACATCAAATATTATTTATTTATTTGCAAATCAAAACATTTTAAAATTCTCGTGTTTTGTATTGCGCCCGCGATATATTAATGGTATTAACCGTTGTGAATATGATATACATTTTTAATACATTACATTTGCGCTCAAAAGTTCAGGAAGTGAGTTTCTAGAAAGGATGAAAACTCCGTTTTATGTATGGTATGTAAAAGGTAATCGTTGTTTACTGTTTATTTTGTATTCAGGTATGGGGAATTTAAGCGATGAGAGTTGCAAAACTTGCAAATGTAGTCCGACTAGTCTCTTTTATGTCATCATGCAACTATTTGATATTGTGCTACATTCATTATTCAATTTATTTGCAGCAATTAGCTTTCTGTAAACCATACAAATGATTATAGCTTGTACCCCACCTTGCCTTTAACATTGATCCTATATATAATGAATTAACCTAACTTGATTATGTTGATAGTCGAGTATGCAGGGGTTTTTTCCGGATTTTCTCTTGGGTCCGTTTTTTGCAGAGAAGATTGAGTTTAGCTAAACAGCTGGGGTGGCTGCACCCCCCCCCCCCCTGTACTCAATAAATGTAGTTGAAACGGAATGTGTTAAAGCAGGGGCACTAAGGGACACTAACAACTGGTTAAAGATGGCGAATGCATAGTTTTTCTTGTGTTGTGAGATGAATTCCAGCCATTTTTTTTAATTGTCGGGTTTCCAGCTGAAAATTAATTTCCACACATCACGAATTTAACTCAAACAACTTCATTTTACAGCACTGAAACTTTGGTAAGAAGATTGAATTTCAAAACTCAATTCAAGATTGAGTTTTTGGGGCCGTTTAACGGCCCTAAAAAATCCCTGAAAAAACCCCTGAGAATGGGACCTATGGGTCTTCTAGGTCCTAGAGTAGCACAATTAATATAGTCTCCATAAGGCGGTAATATTAAAGTGCATATGACATGAATTTTTTTATTTTCTTAAATGAAAGAACTCTTTAAGCTGTAGTGTAACTTATTTTTCAGTTTCTTGTTTTTATGGTTTGTTCCCGAGATATTTCAATTTGTTTGCTATGTAAATGAGTGTGAATATGTCCGCTAATTTATGACGTCACGTTGGTTGCAAGTTCTTCAAAATGGCTGAATATCACGGCTATCATCCAAGATAATAATTTCTAACTTCACTCACTGGTAAATGTGATAAAATACTGGAGAAAAACGTGAACTGATATCTACAGTTTTTAGAGTTAATAGATTTATAAGCAGTGTAAGTTGAGCTTGCAACCAACGTGACGTCATAAATTAGCGGACATATTCACACTCATTTACATATGAAACAAATTGAAATATCTCGGGAACAAACCAAGAAAACAAGAAACTGAAAAATAAGTTACACTAAAACTTGAAGAGTTCTTTCATTTAAGAAAATAAAAAAATTCATGTCATATGCACTTTAAAGACTGTTCTTATTTATGCATGACCTTTAAGTGGCCAAAAATTGTGCCTACAGTAGTCAACTTATTCCACTATCCAGGTTGCATCACTTTTGATTGCAAAACACTGGGTTTATTATACATGGACTTGCTAGCAAAATAGCAGCAATTAATAAACTTGGTGTTATACTAAGATTTACTAAATGTGTAAAGAAACAACGAAAAGTATATGTGCTGGTGATAGCAAAGGAAATTTTGGAATGTGGTAAGATTGGTAAGTAAGGAACATTTGCGTTTTTTCTCCGAGCCGATATGGATTTAGCTCGTAATTGTCCATATTCCATCCTTTTGTTAATAATTATTTAAATTTAGTCTAGCTTTGCAGTATATATATATTCAATGGACGTGATTTAGTTAAAACATTCCCACTGAAGAAGCCTTAACCGGCGAAATGTTTGGGACAAATTTTAAACTTTTTTATTGCCTGTAGACGTTTTATAATATATATATATATATATATATATATATATATATATATATATATATATATATATATATATATATATATATATATATATATATATATATATTCCAAAAGAATATATATACGTTCCAAAAAAGTTTGACCGCATTGGTAAAGCCCATTGTTGTTGATCATTGATGATTAAAATATTTTGCTTATTTCCCTCTTCACTGATGTCATTGCAGACATGAGGACAAAAGATCAAATAATTGAAGCAATTTTGAAAGAAAAATAAAAGATAGTACTTTATAAATACCAATCTATAAGGTAAGCAATTAGGATTGTTTGGAATTATTAGTACAAAGCATTCAAAAACTCATTAATTAATAATTCATGAAGCAATAATCCAATCACAAGGTTTTTTGCAGGGATTTTTTAGGGCCGTTAAACGGCCCCCAAAACTCAATCTTAAATTGAGTTTTGAAACTCAATCTTCTCACCAAAGTTTCAGTGCAGTAAAAATGAAGTTGTTTGAGTTAAATTTCGTACGTGTGGAAATTAGTTTTTAGTTGGAAGCCCAACAATTAAGAGAAAATGGCTGGAATTCATCTCGCAACACAAGAAAAACTATGCATTCGCCATCTTTAACCAGTTTATAGTGTCCCTTAGTGCCCCTGCTTTAACACATTCCATCTCAACTACATTTATTGAGTACAGGTGTCAGCCCCCCGGTAGGAGGGGGGGGGGCGGGTTGCAGCCACCCCAGCTGTTCAGCTAAACTCAATCTTCTCTGCAAAAACGGACCCAAGAGAAAATCCTGAAAAAAACCTGCTTGAGTAAGAAAATAGTCACGTGCATACGTCTTTATACCAGCTAAAGAACAATTTATTATGCAATAATACAAAAGACGATTGTAATGCAAGCTATATAAAGATTTTTATATAAAGCTTTTTATATAAAGATTTTTCATATTCAGATTTGACTTATTATGCAAACGTTTTTGAAGCCACTTAAAAAACTCGCAGGTCCTGCTCGTTTTTTAAATAGTACATCAAGTACTTTATACGTCGAATATCCGTTGAATCGAAAGCAATTAAATTATATTCAAACAATACCTAATGAAGCTTAATGAAGATTATCATCTCATTATCTATTGTCTTAATTTCATTCCACGCGACCGATATTCGACGTATAAAGTACTTGAGTGCTTTCACTAATGCTCCAAACAATCCTAATTGCTTGCCTTATAGATTGGTATTTATAAAGTACTATCTTTCATTTTTCTTTCAAAATTGCTTCATTGTCCTCATGTCTGCAATGACATCAGTGAAGAGGGAAATAAGCAAAATATTTTAATCATCAATGATCAACAACAATGGGCTTTACCAATGTTGGCGATATCTGACCTAAGTTGTAATTGAAATTCAAATTGAACTCCTTCTGTTGTATGGGTTTTTGTGCATGACGTAATTGAGTGAATGCAAATGAGAACATCAAAGGGCGCGGAAAAATGCGAGAAACGAGTAAAATGCCCGGCAGTGTTTTATTATACGACAAACATAAAAATATATAGATTTCTTTGTTTTTTTGAAGGATTTGCATGCGTTTAGCACTGTGAACGGCAAATAATTTCAGATTTTCAGATGCAATGAAAACAAACATCCTGAAACAGGTTAAAAAGTTGCATACAAAAATAGGAACAACTTAACACTGACGTCATTGTTCTTAAATTTGATTGGATAAAATATCACAAATAAAATGTATATATAAATAAACATTTATATATACATATATACAGATATATATCTGCCACAAATAAACAAAAAAGGTGTTTTGAGTTGATTGTATAAATCTGCCGAATAAAAACGGTGAATTAAAGCCCCGTTTACACTACGCTCAATTTTTGGTACGGTACGGATAAAATTAGTACCCGTACCACTTTTTTGGTTCTTGGACTACCTATTTAGGTAGTCCAAGAACCAAAAAAGTGGTACGGTACCAAAAATCGAGCGTAGTGTAAACGGGGCTTAATTTTGCTAGGTTTTTGAAACGAAAAAAGTGGTACGGATACCAATTTTATCCGTGCCGTACCAAAAATCGAGCGTAGTGT